ATCCATGCGGCTGCCCCCCATTTTCTGTGGCCGTTTGCGGTCCGGTACGCCGCGCATCAGCTTAACCTCTGGCCCCGTGTCTCCTTGCCGGAGACCTCGCCCACACTGTTGTGGACGGGGAAGGTTGGCGATGCGTCGCGTTTCCGGGTCTGGGGTGCTCGTGCCTTTGTCCGCGATACCACCGCGGACAAGCTCTCCGCCCGCGCTGTTCCCTGTGTCTTCCTTGGCTTTGTCCCTGACGCGCCTGGCTGGCAGTTTTACCACCCCACCTTGCGCCGTGTCTTCCCCTCTCAGGACGTCACGTTCGACGAGTCGGTTCCCTTTTACCGTCTCTTCCCCTACCGCACTGCCCCTCTCCCCCCCCCCGCCGCTCTTCCTCGCTCCAGGTGCTCCCCAGGTAGACCCCCTCCGCGCTCCCGGTCCTGCTCCTTCAGGTGTGTCTCAGGTAGACCCTCTTCCTCAGGTTGAGGTCACTGGTGACTCAGGTGCTGCTGAGGGTGGTGCTGCTGCTGGGGGTGCTGAGCCTGGGGGTGCGGAGCCTGGGGGTGCTGAGCCTGGGGGTGCGGAGCCTGGGGGTGCGGAGACTGGAGGTGCTGAGCCTGGGTGTGAGGAGTCTGGGGGTACTGAGCCTGGGGGCGCTGAGGCGTCTGGTGAGCAGTCTCCCGGGAGCGGCCGTCTCCGTAGTCGCTCCGCTGGTGCCTCGCCGCTGCACTCTAGTCGTCGACTCCCTCTCTCCCCACAGCAGCTGTTTGAGTGGTACGCTGGCCGTCAGGGTCGCGCTGCTGGAGCTAGGGGCCCTTGTGCGGGAGGCGCTGGAGCTGGTGACTCTGCCACTGGAGTTGTTTCTACTGGAGGGTCTGGAGCTGCTGAGGGTGCTGGAGCTGGAGGTTCTGGAGCTGCTGGAGGTACTGGCGCTGGTGGCGCTGGAGCTGGAGGTTCTGGAGCTGCTGAGGGTGCTGGCGCTGAGGGTTCCGAGTCTGCTGTTGCGCGGCTTCCTTGGAGTAGCCGCCTTCGTCCGCGTGTGCCTCTCACCTCGCAGCAGCTGCACGACTGGTACGGTCGCCGTCAGGGTCGAGCTTCTGGAGCTCGGGGCTCTGCCACTGGAGGTACTTCTGCTGTCGTCACTGGAGCTGGGAGTGGTGCTGGTCCCGGAGGTGCTCGTACTGGAGGTACTGGAGCTGCTGGGGCTGGAGGTGCTGAGTCTGAGGGTGCTGCTGCTGGAGGCACTGAGGCTGGAGACCCTGGGACTGGAGGTGCCGGTTCTGGGGGTGCTGCTGTTGGTGGAGCTGGTCCTGGAGGAGCTGGCGCTGAGGGTTCTGGAGCTGCTGGAGGTGCTGGCGCAGGTAGCCCTGGAGCTGGAGGTTCTGGAGCTACTGAGGGTGCTGGCGCTGGAGGTTCTGTAGCTGCTGGAGGTACTGGCGCTGGTGGCGCTGGAGCTGGAGGTTCTGGAGCTGCTGAGGGTGCTGGCGCTGGAGGTTCTGTAGCTGCTGGAGGTACTGGCGCTGGTGGCGCTGGAGCTGGAGGTTCTGGAGCTGCTGAGGGTGCTGGCGCTGGAGGTTCTGGAGCTGCTGGAGGTGCTGGAGCTGCTGGGGGTGCTGGAGCTGCTGGTGCTGGTGTCACTGCACAGCCGCGCCTGTTCTTTGCTCCACCGTCTCCGTCGTCTCAGCCACCGCCTGACTCTGTGCTTCGCCAGGTTCTTAGTCTCCCTTCGTCTACTGGTCTTCCGTTGCAGCCTGGTTCACCGCTGCCTGCTCCTTCTCCTTACACTGAGCAGCTAGGGAGTCTTACTGAGCGTCGTGAGCCTGCGTCGCGTCCTGTCTCGCCTGTCTGTTCTGGTCGTTCCGGTCGTCGTGTTCCTCGTCCGCGTCTGCCGGCTGTACCCGACACCCACCTCGTAGTCCGACGTCCTTCCTCTCCTCCACAGCGTGTTCCTCTGCCGTCCCCTCCTGCGTCTTCTCTGCCTGTCGTTGCGGACCCCGAGTCTGACCGGTTTCGTGCTGAGCACCCTACTGTCACGCGTCTGCTAGCCACTGTTGTCACTAACCCGTCGTTTGAGTCTGCTGCTACGTCTGCCTTAGTTGCTGAGCTTGTTGACTTTGCTGCTGCCTGTCGTCTCGACTACGCCGCTAGTCTTGTTGCTGAGTCTGAGTCTGTCTGTCCTCCGTCCGTCGGGGGTGAGTGTGCTCTTGGCACGGACGTCCTTGAGGACAGGCAGGAGGACCTTGAGTGTCTTGCAGCCGCTGCTTGCCCCTGAGGGAGACCCGGATGCTCCAGACATCCCGACCCCGCGCTCTTACGCTGAGGCGATCGCGAGTGAGTACTCCTCTCAGTGGCAGACAGCCATGGACGCAGAGATGGCATCCTGGAAGTCCACAGGCACCTATGTCGACGAGGTTCCCCCACCTGGGGCGAACATCGTCAGTGGCATGTGGATTTTCAGGGTGAAGCGGCCGCCAGGTTCTCCGCCTGCCTTCAAGGCGCGTTACGTTGCACGAGGTTTCAGTCAGCGAGAGGGAGTAGACTTCTTCCAGACCTTCTCCCCCACCCCGAAGATGACCACTCTTCGGGTACTGCTGCACGTTGCCGCTCAGCGTGACTACGAGCTTCACTCTCTTGACTTCAGCACAGCCTTCCTACAGGGCAGCCTGCATGAGGAGATCTGGCTGTGCCGCCCACCTGGCTTCACTGGGTCGTTCCCTCCTGGTACCCAGTGGAGCCTCAGGCGGCCGGTCTACGGTCTCCGCCAGGCGCCACGTGAGTGGCACGACACACTGAGGACGACACTTGCGGCTCTTGGGTTTGCTCCGTCGACTGCTGACCCGTCGCTGTTTCTGCGCACCGACACTTCGCTGCCGCCGTTCTACATCCTCGTGTACGTCGACGACTTGGTCTTTGCCACTGCTGATACTGAGGCTCTCGCCCTGGTGAAGTCGGAGCTGCAGAAGAGACACACGTGCACAGACCTGGGTGAGCTGACAAGCTATCTTGGCTTGCGGATCACCCGGGACAGAGCACGCCGCACCATCACACTGACTCAGTCACACATGGTGCAGCAGGTCCTTCAGCGCTTCGGCTTCACCTGGTCCTCGGCACAGCACACTCCTCTGGCTACAGGTCACTCGCTCTCAGGTCCACCTTCGGACGAGTCCGTAGAGCCGAGTGGTCCTTACCCAGAGCTAGTGGGCTGCCTCATGTACCTGATGACCTGCACTCGTCCTGACCTTGCGTACCCTCTTGGCCTTTTGGCTCGCTACGTGGCTCCTGGTCGGCACCGAAAGGTGCACATGGATGCTGCTAAGAGGGTACTACGCTACTTGTGCAGTACATCGGGCATGGGGCTTGTGCTTGGAGGACGGAGCGACGTTGTCCTCACTGGGCACTCAGACGCTTCTTGGGTTGACGACCAGGCTACGCAGCGGTCGTCACAGGGTTACACCTTCAGCCTTGGCTCTGGTTCGGTTTCGTGGCGTTCTACACGCTCGTCTTCAGTTCTCAGCTCCAGTTGTGAGGCTGAGATCTACGCCACAGCCATGGCTGCACAGGAGTTACGCTGGCTCACCTACCTGCTGACCGACTTGGGAGAGCGGCCTCGTTCTCCTCCAGTGCTGTACGTCGACAACAAGGCAGCCATTGCCTTGTGTCAGGAGCACAGACTGGAGCACAGAACAAAGCACATCGCTTTGCGTTACTTCCTGGCTCGAGAGTTGCAGCAGCGTGGTCAGCTTCGTCTGCGTTACGTGGCCACTCGGGCCAACACTGCTGATATATTCACCAAGGCACTTCAGTCTGGTGATCATCAGCGTTTCTGCACCGTGCTAGGGCTTGTGCCCACTTTTCCTCACTTGCTGTAGGCTTTGCTTGTTCTGTAATCTTGATATATATACCTGCATGCTTGCTTTGCTAGGTAGAGATCACTGTGCTGTTTGTGTTGCATATATACCCCTGCATGTGAACTGGCCTTGTGGCCGCTTGCTTGTGCTCAGAATGCATGGTGATCTTGAGATCCACCCTGAGCTTTGCTTTGCTTTGTTCTCTTGCTTGACCGGTTTTGTGACCTTTGGTTGTTCTTGCTATCCCCCACTTTGCCTATGGGGGTGTGTCAAACTATGTTTCTATGTTGTAGGCTGTAGTGGGGTAGCCTCTACTGAGTACAACACTTTAGGGTTAGACATTGCCCTACTTGTACTCGTCCTTGCTTCCTAGTCAATCATTCCTGCCTATACTTCTGACAACGTTCATGCACACTCACTCACTTTGACGCTCACAGGTTCATGCACACACTCACTCACTTTGACTCTCACACGTGCATGCACCACAATCATTCTTCTCCGCACAGAGCATGAATGGGTGCGAGAGGGAGGAGCACCCGCGTGCCCTCTGTCTCTTCCCGTCATGAAGCGCGTGCACCAATTCTGCCAGATGAACCACCTCAAGCGACAAGCTCTTGCTGTAAGTGCCTTGTGAACCTGCAACCCTGCAAACCTTAACACTGCAAAAGCTAACACTGCACTGCAACCCTTAGCACTGCAACGCTAATCACCTGCAAACCTTAACAGCCCTTTTTCTTCCCTCCTCCCTTCCCTACACCTTCCCCTCCCCCTTCCCATCCACCTCCCCCAATCCCCGACCAGGTGGTGGCGAGATCAGAATAGAGGTCTATACAAGCAAATGTTGAGCCAGGAATGGCCCACTGGAGTGCAATTACCGTACTTGCCTCTGCTGGATAGCAACTTCTGTTTCTTTCATAATTATTCTTTGTGCGTCCACTCATTGATGATTGCAAGGATCAACGAAGCATGCACCAGATATGTAGAAAGAGATGCCGTTAATAATCGTCCACAGCTATGCCAGATCAGAAACGAACACACCGACCATCCTAGAAATACAAAGAAAGCGTATTTCCCCTGAAACAAGGGACTAAGTGAAAGGTCAAGAGAGGCTTTGAAGCTTATCCACGACTAAGTGAAAGGTCAAGAACATTCTATACACGTTAAACAAATCTATGCCCTCTCTCCACGGATGCGCCGAGCCAGCTGAATGTCCTTAGGCATGATGGTGACACGCTTGGCATGAATGGCGCACAAATTCGTGTCCTCAAACAAACCAACGAGATAAGCTTCGGCAGCTTCTTGGAGCGCGAGCACGGCATGACTTTGGAACCTCAGGTCCGTCTGCGCAGCACAGGTAATAGTATTAAGTCACCGTAAGGAAAACAGAACAAAGAAGCGAGGATCAACATTTTAAAAAGGAAAATATCAGACCTTGAAGTCTTGAGCGATTTCGCGAACCAGCCGTTGAAAGGGAAGCTTCCGAATTAGCAGCTCGGTACTTTTCTGGTACTTGCGAATCTCACTGCCAAGCAATCGGAAAAAATGTCAGAAAAGCGCACCACTAAGACAAAGTCGAAACTTAAAAAAAAAAAAAACATAAACAAAAACGCACCGAAGGGCGACCGTTCCGGGACGATAACGGTGAGGCTTCTTCACTCCTCCTGTTGTAGGAGCGGATTTCCTCGCAGCCTGAATCACTCAAACAGGAAATATGCATCAGTTGGGCGTATAAGGCATCTGGTGACCGTGCTAAGAGAGTTAGATGTGCTTAAACATGTATCTAGACTAGGTCTACCTTAGTGGCGAGTTGCTTCCTAGGAGCCTTTCCTCCAGTGGACTTCCTAGCAGTCTGCTTGGTACGAGCCATGATGCAAATATACTATGCTCTAGGGTTAAAAGACTATGAAGATAGGAAAAGGTTGGTAAACTAGGTCGACTTGAGAGCGCAAAATGACTTGGAACAAAGTGAAGAGGCAATAATAAACTCAAAACAGGGAGATAGACCTCGTACGCAAGGACCTAGGCAATAGACCTGAGTTGAGTGTTGCGTATGGAATGGAACACATCACAGCGTCGCTCGCCACCATCAAAAGCAAACCCTAGGGCTTGAGCAAGCGCTCCTCGGCAAAAGCATGAGTTCCGGTGGTCGCGATTAACCGTCGATAAGGAGGGCAGAAATACGGATCTGACGGTCTCTGACATCGAGTTCGCTCATTCCTCTCACAGGCGCCTTCGCCAAAAGAAAGCGTAAACCCACAGTTGTGTGAGAAAGTTAGGGCATGAACCGTTACACAATGGCAGTTTACATCCCATCATTTCGATTTATGGTGAAGTTTCTTTTCTATATTTACTTGCAACACTCACATCAGCATACACCCAAATCTCTGGATTATCTTTGCAAACCGTTTATTCATCGTGTTCAAAGTTTATGCGCGTTACGGTAGTACATTTCATAACCGTCCGTAATTGCACATGAACCCATGTACCCCACTGTTATAGTTACTTCTGTTGAGGTTCTAATATATTTACTGAAAAGGTCCGTACTAATCACAAAGCACTTCCGCTGCTGCGCTCAGGCGGTCGACCCGCGATTCTATAGAGGACCTTCAGATTGTAACAAGGCATAGTCAGTACTTAATGTGAGACGGAAACATACACTAACTAATTTTCCGAAGGAGATGCAACACTTGGTGTGAGTCTGTTTTATTACCGGTCTCATGGATCAAAATAATCGTTTGCATGCGAGAGAAAATAATAAGTTAGCTTTTCTAACCATATTTTGTTTTAATACCATAACAAGGAGCCCCTCTCCTTATCCTCCCACACTTCTGCCCCTCTGCCCCAGCAGTGTGGAAATAGAGGGGTCGCAAGAGAGGTAAGTTTGACAAATGAGAACATTATTGTCGAGGGCAGAAGGGCTGTTGTGGGGGGGAAAGGGTGGTGTGTCGGAGAAAGGAGGTTGATATGCGGGGGGAAAGAGGATTGTAGAGGGTTTGCAGGGAGGTAAGTAGAGGGGGTATGTGAATGGAAGGAGGGCGGTGTGTGAGGGGGAATGAGGGTCATAATGGGGGAAATGATGGTGGTTTGTTTGGGGGAACATAGGCAGTATGCGGGGGAGTAGAAGGGCGGCATGTTGGAGCGATGGAGGGCAGTATGTAGCGAACAAGGTGAGTGGGGCAAGGCTGTGGTATGCGGGGGGTATGGGGGTGGTTTGTGGGGGGCCATTAGGGTGGTTCGTAGGGAGTGGAGGGTGGTAAGTGGGGGGAAGTAAGGTGGTATGTGGGTGTGGTTGAGGGTGGTAAGAGGGTGGCTGAATGGTGGTAAGTAGGGCGAAAAGGGCAGCATGTGGGGAGGAAGGAGGGTGGTAAGTGAGGGAAGGGAAGAGGATAAATGGGGAGAGGGCGGACTGTGAGTGAGGGAAGGAAAGGGACGAAGAAGGGGCAGGAACGAGGTGAGTGGGAGGGTGGTTGCTGCAAAAGAGGAGGGGGAAAGGCGGGCAGTATGTGGGGGAAGTGGGCGGTAAGTGGGGTGAAAGATGGCGGTAAGAGGGGGAAGGAGGGGGATAGGTGAGAGAGGGTGGGCTGTAGGTGGTTGGGGGGAAGGGATTAAGTAGGGGGAGGGAAGGGAGGGTGGCGGGTGGTCGAGAGTGTCACGAGGGTGAGAGACTGAAGTGTGTGAACGACTGAAGAGAGAGAGAGACAGAAGAATGTGAGAGACTGAAGAGTGTGAACGACTGAAGAGAGTGAGAGACTGAAGAATGTGAGAGACTGAAGAGTGTGAGAGACTGAAGAGTGTGAGAGACTGAGTGTGAGAGACTGAAGAGTGTGAGAGACTGAAGAGTGTGAGAGACTGAATAGTGAGACTGAGAGTGTGAGTGACTGAATGTGAGAGAGCGTGATCGACCGAAGAGAGTGAGAAGTGGGGTGTAGAAAGGCGGTAACTGGGAGGAGTGAGCGGGTGCGAATGACGGGGGGGTGGGACGAGAGCGGTTGACGGGTGTGCGAGAATGAATTATGGGAGAAACTGTGCGACGGGGCGGGGCGGGAGATGAAGGGCAAAGCGAGTGCGATGGGCAAGAGAAGCGAGGGCGATGGGCAAGAGAAGCGAGGGCGATGGGCAAGAGAAGCGAGGGCGATGGGCAAGAGAAGCGAGGGCGATGGGCAAGACAAGCGAGGGCGATGGGCAAGAGAAGCGAGGGCGATGGGCAAGAGAAGCGAGGGCGATGGGCAAGAGAAGCGAGGGCGATGGGCAAGAGAAGCGAGGGCGATGGGCAAGAGAAGCGAGGGCGATGGGCAAGAGAAGCGAGGGCGATGGGCAAGAGAAGCGAGGGCGATGGGCAAGAGAAGCGAGGACGCCAGGCAAGGCGATGAGAAGAGCGACGAGGGGAAGCGAGGGCGACAGGAAGGGGGATCGAGGGAGAAGGGAAGAGCGATGGGAGGGCAAGCGAGGGCGACGAGCAAGGGAAGCGAGGGCGACGACTCGTCGGAGGGGAGGCAATGACGACGGGCAGAGGAAGCTAGGGCGATGAGCAGGGAAAGCGAGGGCGCGGCGAGCAGGGGAAGCGAGGGCGACGAGGGGAAGCGAGGGCGACGAGGGGAAGCGAGGGCGACGAGCAGGGGAAGCGAGGCAGACGGGGAGAGGGAGTGAGGGGGACGGGGAGGGGGAGCGAGGGCGACGAGGAGAGGGAGTGAGGGGGACGGGGAGGGGGAGCGAGGGGGCCGAGGAGAGGTGGGCGACGGGGAGGAGAAGCGAGGGCGACGAGGGGAAGCGACGCCGATGGGGGGAAGCAATGGCGACGGGCAGAGAAAGCGGCGATGAGCAGGGGAAGCGAGGGCGCGACGAGCAGGGGAAGGGAGGGCGACGAGGGGAAGCGAGGGCGACGAGCAAGGGAAACGAGGGCGACGGGGAGGAGAAGCGAGGGCGACGAGGGGAAGCGCGGGCGAGGAGGGGAAGCGAGGGCGACGAGGGGAAGCGCGGGCGAGGAGGGGAAGCGAGGGCGACGAGGGGAAGCGCGGGCGATGAGGGGTAGCGAGGGCGACGAGCAGGGGGAGCGAGGGCGACAGGCAGCGGAAGGGGGGGGGAAGGCCCCCGGGGGGGGGGGGGGGGGGGGGGGGGGAGGAGGGGGGAGAGAGCAACGGTACAAAGTGAGCGAAGAAAGTTCGCCGCAGGAGATGATAATGCGAGTGACGAGAGATCGCGCCTGTGCGCGACGACAGCGAGTCATTCGAGTGAGCCGGACGTAAAAGTAACGCGCGTGCGGGTATGAAGACGCTATGCTAGTTTTTTCCTTCGACATCACCAGATCATGAATGAGGATGGTTCCCTCCCAATCAAGACGCGGTACCTCTAGAATTGACCTTGCGATCGGACCTTCAGTATACATTTGGCAGGGGGGTGTGCCAAAAGTTTATAAAAGGGACCTGGTGGTAACCGAATTACGGTGGCACTCAACACTTGTCTCGAAGGTCCGTGTCTTCCCAACCCCCCGCAGCACACTCTCGTCAAAAGTTTATGGCATGCCAAAAGTATACTGAAGGGGTTGCCTCCTCGCCACTAGCCTCGCCCCCATAGCGTAGCTCATCGTGCACAACTAGCATAGCTACCGTACGTGTGCAAAAGCCATTGCAACCCGTAATAGCCATTGCGAGGGTAGCGCATCTCGCTGTTAGGTCATTTAGCGACCATACCACCGTGCCTTTTTGCTTCGCTGCAACGACATTCGCTAGCGCCGCGCTGTGGAAGGCATGACGCCGACTAGAGGCAGATCGAGAAGGCGCGACGGTGTGGTTTTTCCACCCTCCCCTTCCCCCCGCTTTGCTCCCCTTTCCGCTGCGCGATTCCAATTCCCGGCGCCCGATTCCCCTTCCCGCCGCCCGATTCCCCTTCCCGCCGCCCGATTCCCCTTCCCGCCGCCCGATTCCCCTTCCCGCCGCACCGTGAGCCCCTTTCCGCCGCCCGACTCCCTTTCCCGCCTCCCGATTCCCCTTTCCGCATACCCTTTGACCTTCCCGCCGCCCAATTCCCCTTTCCCGCCGCCCGATTCGCCTTTCCCGCCGCCCGAATCCCCATTCCCGCCGCCAGATTCCCCTTCTCGCTGCCCGATTCCCCTTCCCGCCGCCCGATTCCCCTTCCCGCCGCCCCTTTGACCTTCCCGCCGGCCCATTCCCCTTGCCGCCGCCCGATTCCCCATTCCCGCCGCCCGTTTCCCCGTTCCCGACCCCCATTCTCCCCTTCCCGCCTCCCATTCTCCCATTCCCGCCTCCCATTCTCCCCTTCCTGCCTCCCTTCTCTCCCTTCCCTTCATTCCCTCCCTTCTCTCCCTTCCCTCCCTTCCCTCCCTTCCCTCCCTTCCCTCCCTTCCCTCCCTTCCCTCCCTTCCCTCCCTTCCCTCCCTTCCCTCCCTCCCATCCCTTCCCTCCCTTCTCTCCCTTCCCTCCCTTCCCTCCCTTCCGCCCTTCTCTCCCTTCCCGCCCTTCTCTCCCTTCCCTCCCTTCTCTCCCTTCATTCCCTTCTCTCCCTTCCCTCCCTTCCCTCCCTTCCATCCCTTCCATCCCTTCCCTCCCTGCTCTCCCTTCTCTCCCTTCCCGCCCTTCTCTCCCTTCCCTCCCTTCTCTCCCTTCATTCCCTTCTCTCCCTTCCCTCCCTTCCCTCCCTTCCATCCCTTCCATCCCTTCCCTCCCTGCTCTCCCTTCTCTCCCTTCCCGCCCTTCTCTCCCTTCCCTCCCTTCTCTCCCTTCCCTCCCTTCTCTCCCTTCCCTCCCTTCCCTCCCTTCCATCCCTTCCATCCCTTCCCTCCCTGCTCTCCCTTCCCTCCCTTCTAGTCCTTCCCTCCCTTCTCTCCCTTCCCTCCCTTCTCTCCCTTTCCTCCCTTCTCTCCCTTCTCACCCCTCCACCCCGCCTCCCCATCTCCCTGTCGCGCCTCCCCATCTCCCTGTCCCGCCTCCCCATGAGAGCTGCCTCCCTTCTCATCTCGCGTACCTCCTTTCCTCTCTTCCTTGGTGTGCAATATCATTCTCGGTCATGCCTCCTCATCTCATCTCCCCTTCATGCCTCCCACCACCTCTCCCTCCCTTCCCATCTCCCCTTCATGCCTCCCACCACCTCTCCTTCCCTTCCCATCTCCCCTTCATGCCTCCCACCACCTTTCCCTGCCTTCTCATCTCCCCTTTTCGGCATCCTCCCTCCCTCTATCCTCATTTCCCCTCCCTCCATCCTCATTTCCCCTCCCTCCATCCTCATTTCCCCTCCCTCCATCCTCATTTCCCCTCCCTCCATCCTCATTTCCCCTCCCTCCATCCTCATTTTCCCTCCCTCCATCCTCATTTCCTCTCCCTCTATCCTCATTTCCCCTCCCTCCATCCTCATTTCCCCTCCCTCCATCCTCATTTCCCCTCCCTCCATCCTCATTTTCCCTCCCTCCATCCTCATTTCCTCTCCCTCCATCCTCATTTCCCCTCCCTCCATCCTCATTTCCCCTCCCTCCATCCTCATTTTCCCTCCCTCCATCCTCATTTCCTCTCCCTCTATCCTCATTTCCCCTCCCTCCATCCTCATTTCCCCTCCCTCCATCCACATTTCCCCTCCCTCCATCCTCATTTCCCCTCCCTCCATCCTCATTTCCTCTCCCTCCATCCTCATTTCCTCTCCCTCCATCCTCATTTCCTCTCCCTCCATCCTCTTTTCCCCTCTCTCCATCCTCATGTGCTGCCATCACTTTGTCACCATACGTGCTTTTTTACTCATGTGTACTCGCTTGTATTCCCTTTTTCCCCTCCCTCCCTTCCTATCTCCCCTCACTTACTACCCATCTCACCTTCCTTCCTTCCCATCTCACCTCCCTGCGTGAGTATCACACCTCCCTGCCTTACGTGCCATGGGTTTGGGGCCCCATTTACCGCTGCGAAACCAGGTGTCATACAACCTGTATGCATATGCAAAGCTGCCGGTTTTGCATGCAAGTCAGCGCCATATAAGTGTGCCAATTCCCTCTGCTCCAGCGAGCTTGTCTGCGTGGAGGGGCATCACAACATGTTCCGATTCCAAGAGTGTCGAGACATGAAGATGTCACCAAGAGTAGAGGATGGTGCGGTTTGTATATTGACGATGAAGATATGTGTACATAGAACTCCAAAAGCTTCTTCATACGCCATCATAGTGTGCTCACTTGCAAACCTAAAGATGGCTAATGGAAAGATCCAAGACGTTGGAAAGACAGATATCACATGATATGTATTGGATGCATGTGAACATTTGGATATAGATGTGTTGTAACATTCTGCTAATGTCAATGTACATTGAGGGCACACACAACCCTAGACTGAACGAAACTGTGCGTGTTCCCCACAGGTTCACCTGCCCCTCCCTCCCCACCGTCACCACACTGCCCGTGTTCAGCCCCAGCAGCATGCGCAGCGCTATGATCTGCAGGGGATGGCATGGGGGAAAGACCCGGAGGGGAAGTGATGGGAGATGGGGAGGGGTGAGACAAGAGTAGTGTGGGAGAGTGAATGAGAGGGTGTGTGAGGTGGGGATGCGATTGCATGTGCATGTAGGGACAGAGCTGTACCCAGCAGCACCACACGCCCACCGTTTACACCCCTATCCACACTACTCATGCTCGCCATACTTCAACACACATAGCTCAACGCACTCCTCCCCACAGCGGCCCGAGGCATGCCCTGGCGGGTCGAGAGCGGGCCAGCTCCCCGCGCAGCACTATCTGGCAGGCACTCAAGGGGAGGGGAGAGCAGGCAGGGGAGGGTCGGAGAGAGTGAGCGAGGATACAGGGAAGAGGTGAGTGAGCGATGGCGTGGGAGTGCGGTGGAGTGGGGGGAAGAGGGAGATGAACAATATCGATGACAGACACAACATGATGTGAGAAGGGCATCCTTTGAGAAGGCATGACGTGAGAAGGCATGACGTGAGAAGGCATGACGTGAGAAGGCATGATGTGAGAAGGCATGACGTAGGGGAGCGGAGGGAAGCGTAGCGGCGCGGAGGGGAGGGGAGGGGAGCGGAGGGGAGGGGAGAGGAGAGGAGCGGAGGGGAGGGGAGGGGAGCGGAGGGGAGCGGAGGGGAGCAGAGGGGAGCGGAGGGGAGCAGAGGGGAGCGGAGGGGAGCGGAGGGGAGCGGAGGGGAGCGGAGGGGAGGGGAGGAGAGCGGAGGGGAGCGTAGGGGAGCGGAGGGGAGCGGAGGGGAGCGGAGAGGAGCGGAGGGGAGCGGAGGGGAGCGGAGGGGAGCGGAGGGGAGCGGAGGGGAGCGGAGGGGAGCGGAGGGGAGTGGAGAGGAGCGGAGGGAAGCGGAGGGAAGCGGAGGGGAGCGGAGGGGAGCGGAGGGGAGCGGAGGGGAGCGGAGGGAAGCGGAGGGGAGCGGAGGGGAGCGGAGGGGAGCGGAGAGGAGCGGAGGGGAGCGGAGGGAAGCGGAGGGGAGCGGAGGGGAGCGGAGGGGAGCGAAGGGGAGCGGAAGGGAGCGAAGGGGAGCGGAGGGGAGCGGAGGGGAGGGGAGGGGAGTGGAGGGGAGCAGAGGGGAGCGGAGCGGGAGGGCGCTGACCATGAATTGAGCGAGGGCCCCCAGCAGCGCTGCACTAGATCCGTTCCCTCACTGTGTGGTGGAGGGCACATGCACCGATGCACGCATGCACACAGCACACATGCGTGCACGCATACATGCAGACAAGCAAGCCTGCACACATGCAAATAGGCACACACGTATGCACACATATGCCCAGATGCACATATATGCACATACGCACATGCACGCACGCAACCAGGAAAATCCGAACACATGAAGACACAGATGCAAGCAGCGGTGCATGCGGGGACGGATGCCATTCCCCTAAGCGGTTGGCGCTAAGTGGGTGAGGCGAACAGCAGGTGACGCGCTAAGCGGGTGACGCGCTAAGCGGGTGAGGCGCTAAGCGGGTGAAACCCTAAGCGGGTGAGGCGCTAAGAGGGTGACGCGCTAAGCGGGTGACGCGCTAAGCGGGTGACGCGCTAAGCGGGTGACGCGCTAAGCGGGTGACGCGCTAAGCGGGTGACGCGCTAAGCGGGTGACGCGCTAAGCGGGTGAGACGCTAAGCCCGCCGGCCTAGCCAACAAATGGAATGCGGCGAACCCGCGGAGGGCAACGCGACGGGAGCAACGATTGCATTGCAGGATGGTCGTTTCCGTTGCAAGTGACCACCCCGTGCGCATTGGATGGATCGGACCGCCCGACATGATAACAAGCAGCTATCGCAGCAGCGACAGAAACGATAACGAGGCAGACGAAAATTCAAGAATGTCTGCGCTGTTCGGGAAAGCAAGCCGCAGACAGCGCCGTCTATCGCGCTATGGAGCTAATTCGGCGGACCCTGAAAGAACAGCTACTAGGTGTTTGGTGAGGAGGGCATCCTTTCCCGTTCCACCTCTTTCCCCCCCTCCCCCCCCCCCCCCCCCCCCCCCCCCCACCCTCTCTCCCCCGCGAAACTGTCCGGGGGTTCAGAGTTTTCGCCAATCCTCTCGCCAAGTAGTTTTCCTTTCGCTTGGGCGAAATCGTTTTGTACACTGTACAAACTCCAACAGTACTGCCAAATGTATACTGCTGCTTTAAAAGATGTAGTTTCAATTTTAGCAGGATTTCAGTGCGGTGCAATCGCCGAACCTGCGATCGACCGAGCAAAATTGCTAGACAAGTTTTTGGCGATCGTCCCTGCTGGTGGTCCCCAGCCGTGCTCAACGTCGCAACACCGCCTCTGGTTGTCGCGAGGGGGAAAGGCATTTACTGACAGCGGGTAACCCAAAGCTGTCAGTCAATGCCTGTTGACTGTTGGGAAGGTGATTGACACACGAGTTACTTCAAGCTTCGCCAACAGACATCGACACTCGACATCCACGAAATTTGAGAGCCTAGCGATCGACGTCGATGAGCAGCACAAATTCGTTGCGAAGGGTAACGTGACTGGTCAGCACGGCAGTGGCGTGAATTGACCCAACCCGACCAACTAAACAGGGAAAAAGGAGAAACAGCCCTGACCAGCACGAATTTCATTGCGAAGGCCACGGGACTTGGTGAATACGGCATGGTGAAGGCCAGGAAGGTCTTCACGGTAAGAACAGGTCTCACGGTAATTTGTTGCATTTTCTGCTAGGCATTTCTTGCGTTTTCTGAAATCACAGGCATTTCAACTGATTGTCAGTTTTCTTCCTTCAGCATTTTCTTTCCGACGGTCCAATCCAACTTCTTATCCATAGTGCCTAGTGATTCCGCTAATACGCTTTCTGTTTTCGTAGAATTTCTCGTATTTCCTTTTCCATACGTATTGTCACTCAATCTGGTGCATTGGACGACGTCAAGAATCAGCTGGGTCTGTAGGTGGTAGTAGTAAGGTCCCGGATGTGCCAATGTTTGGTTACGGCGTTTCGAGAGGTCAGAAGTGCAGACCCGCTAGGCCGCTGAAGCTTCTCCTACTCGGCGATTATGGTAAGCAACGCATGTGTGATTATAAGAGATGGTGGTTTCTTTCTGAACAGCCATAAGTGGTCCGCACCATTTCTCATCTATTGTCCCATTCGTGTCAGGAGACGAGCAGCTGGCCCGGAAAACGCGTTCCAAATAGCAGGGCGAGCGGCTTTAACGAACTTATTGACTACGAATGAGGAGGAAGAGCGAGCAGACCCAACTTATAGAGAAGAGGCACAGGCTCCAAGTGACAGCAGTGAAGATGGCGATGGGGAGGAGAGGGAAGGAGATGGAAGCAGACACAACAGGGCCCAGGGGAGGGAAGCAGAGCAGCCTGGAGGCGTAGGAGGACCGCACGATGGCAATCGGGCGGCTGTAAATCCAACCCAATCCCCATCCCAAGCATCGAACCGCACACGAGGACCACGAGCCGCACATTGCTTGCCCAATCTGTCATCCATGCCCTCGAACCTGCGCTATTTCTCGCCAGAGGAGTTGGCGAGGCACACTGACAGGTTCGCAAACGTCGCGACCTGGGATCTAGCACCCCTGTGCGATAGTCGCCAGCCACCGCTGTCACGGCGATTACCGCCGAAACTATGCCAGTTGTTTTCGCTGGCCCTACTGACCCCACTCCTACACTTGTCGCGACACCCCGAATCCATCACAGCGTGGCGTCTCCTGCTATTTCTCCCGCGCCTGACTCTTCGCCAAGCATCACCGAGACATTCTGACTGGTCAAAAATCAAGGCCAGGCTTCGCTCGTTTCAGCGTGGCGAATGGGAGCAGCTATACTCTGACGCCACGCAAGCAGTCAACGCACCGCCACCGCCCCGTCACCAACCTGACGACACCGGTGTCATCAGCAGGGCGGAGGGACTGGCAAAGCGCGGCAGCCTTCGCCGTGCGGTCCTGGCACTGGAGTCAACGCCGGTGTGCACGCCGAGTCCACGAGTCCTGGACGAGCTACGCGACAAACACCCTCCGGCAGGGTCCGAACCGCTGACCTGGCCAACTGACACCCAGGCGACAGAACTGGCAATTTCCCACGCGGAATTTGTCAAGTTGCTGAGCCGATGCGAGAATGGTGTGGGGGCTGGCCCGTCTGGTACAACCTTCGAACATCTGCGCGATGCGGCCATTACCAATGCATCGGTCAGCACCCAGCTACATGCCTTGGTTAACACTGTGCTGGGCGGCAAATTACCAGAGCCAGTAGCAGAGCTACTCACGGGGTCACGCCTCATCGCCTTAGCCAAACCAGGAGGAGGGGCACGTCCTATAGCTATTGGTGAGTGCCTGACTAGACTCGCAGCAAAGGCCGCTCTGACAGCCATGGGAGAAGCAGCACGCAGTTACTTCCTCCCATTGCAGTATGGCGTGGCGATACCGGGCGGCGCAGAGGCAATAATCCACACGGCGCGAGCTTTCGTTGACGAACGGCCAAACTGCCTAGTATTACAGACAGACATTTCCAATGCTTTCAACAGCATTTCTAGGCAGGCAATAGTGACAGCGCTACAGGACGAAGCCCTCTCACCTCTACTGCCCCTAGTAAAACTCACCTACGGTCAACCCTCGCTGCTGTACCTAGACGCCGGCTTCGATAGTGGTCCGCTTAGGAGCGAGCGTGGCGTCAGGCAAGGAGACCCCCTCGGACCATTCCTTTTCGCAGCCGGAATCCACCCCGCACTACGCATGACGGCAGCCGCATACCCAGGTGTACTCTGCTTAGCATACGCCGATGACGTCACGTTCCTAGGTGACGCGGACGAGGCAACTGCTGCATTTTCTCACTTCACCAGGCAGTTAGCGCTAGTAGGCTTGCAACACAACCCTGCGAAATGCGCAGCATGGAGTCCTACACGCAACGCCAGCGAGTTACAATTGCCCAGCGGGGTACCCTTTAGCGACGACGGCGTTAGATTACTAGGCAGTTACCTCGGCACTACAGACGGCGCCGCTTCATTCCTGGACGAGCAACTTCGCATAATGGCCAAGCCACTACCGATTCTGGAGCGCACAGACCCTCAGATAGCGTCGCTCCTACTCACATGCTGCATCTCACGTAGGGTGGCATACCTCACACGGACGACACCGATCAACCTCCTATCAAGCAACGTATGGACACAGTGGGGCAGGGACTTGCTAGCCACACTATTAGCTTCATGTGGCATCCGTTTCCCCACGAGCGACGACGAACAGCATCGAGTTTGGGAGCAGTCGTCCCTACCGCCGTCACTAGGCGGAATAGGTCTGGCCGATCCCACAGTGGAAGGTATCTACGGTTTCCTAGCGAGTTTTACCCAGGCAACGCTCTTACTCACCTCACTACCCCTCGAGCCCGACGACATCCTGTCCGCCGCCAGAAACCATATGCTACTGGCACGGGAGAGCACCTCCCCCCTTCATGCATGGCTGACGGAATGCGAAGTTAAGATCCCTAGAGAAGCACTTGAGATACTGGAGAAGGAGAGGATGGAGCCGACAGGGGTGAAACTGCAGCACGCCATGGCGGTACAGGTGCAGGGGAGCAGGTATGCCAGACAAGTACTGGAGTCTCGACGCATGGGCCTAAACCCATTGTCCGGGCACACGCAGCGCCTGTTCTCTCTGACAGGTTACGGTGCCGGTGACTGGCTCCTCGCCATCCCCATTGCGACGAACAGGAGATTGGGCCCAGAACACTTCTCCAACGCCCTCCGTTTCAGGCTAGGACTGCCCTTTTCCATGCCGGCTAAGTGCGACTGTTCCAAACACACCGCCATCACAGACCCCAGGCTACCAAACCACCTCTTCCGCTGCGGGACAGGCAAGCATCGGATAAACACGCACAACGAGCTGCGCGACGCCTGCATCAGCATGGCGGAAGACGCATGATTTATTGTACACGGGGAATCAGCAGCCTACTGCCCCATTGAGGAGCAGACGGCAGATCTCACGATCCGGGACAGAAGCTCAGGGGCGGTCTATATCTGCGACGTTACAATCACAGATCCCATCAGCACAAGGGACCCTGAGGCGGTAAAAGGGCGCGGATGGGCGGCGAGAGAACAGGCAGACAAGAAAACCAAGCATTACGAGGCAAGGCCAGACTCGGTGGGCTTCTTCCCTCTGGCGGTTGACACCTATGGCTGCCCCTGTGCAGAGGTCCCAACCTTTCTGAAGCTGTTAGCAGACACGGCGGCTCGGCGACACTTCAACGCCGACCCTCACTCCTTCCAGGCCGCAAAGTTTCTGCATCAGTTCCGGCAAAGGTGGTCCGTAGCACTCCAGAGGGCCCAGTCGGTGGGGTACCTCATGAAGTCAAGCCTGGCCGCAGTGGCAGAAAACCCGCCTGTGGGGGGTGCCCACACGGAACTGTCCCTTGGGGACTGCTTCGCCATGCTAGAGCCCCTCATAGAGTTCGGTTAGGGGGTGTCCGGGAGTGAAGGGGGGAGCATAGGTAGGCTGGTAGTGTGGAGTTTGTGTGTTTGTTTGTTTGCTGTTGTTTTGTTTGCTTAATTTAGCTAGACATATCACATGCATGCATGTACCTTTCTTGCTCTATTAATACACGGACCATTAGAGAGAGAGAGAGAGAGAGAGAGAGAGAGAGAGAGAGAGAGAGAGAGAGAGAGAGAGAGAGAGAGAGAGAGAGAGAGAGAGAGAGAGAGGGAAGGAGGGAGGGAGGGAGTGCGGGAGGGAGGGAGGGAGAAGCTAAGGATATGCACATCGCATGTATGAAATACTGTGACATATAAATTCTCTCTTGAATAACACTGGCGACTAGCTGTCACAACAACATGTAACGTATCTGGTGTCTCCAGATGTGATAGAGTGCATACCCGTTTGTCGTCCATATCGGCCTTCGTGCCCACGAGAAGCACACGCACCCCTTGAGGTGAATGCTCCTCTATCCTCCTCATCCACCCTCTCATATCTGCATAAACCAAAGGTGATAAGAGCCAAACGGAAGCACTATAACAAGGGGACAGGCGAACATAGTGGTTACTTACTATTGAAAGATGACCGGTTGGTGACGTCATATAATAGCATGATGCCATGTGCGTTCCGGTAGTAAGCTGCCAAGAGCACATGTAGAACCATATCGGGTGTGGTTTGAGCTTAATTATATTACACCAAGTGCACTTAGGTGATAGTATTCGGAACGAAACGCAATCTTGGCGATAACAATGCATGTGGCAAGGAATGTTGGCTCTAATATGCACCAGGACGAAATATATTGAAAAATATCAAAACTAGTTGAGACGTGCTTGCTGGTTGAACTGGAAACAAGTGAGAGCAGGCTTAGCGCTATGTATGTCTACCTTCAGGGATGGTTCCGCGCATCTCTAAACCTAATGTATCCCAAATGGACACTCTCATCTGATTGCCATCGATGTCCATCATGCGAATGAAGCAGTCATTTCTGCAGACACAAAAGGGAGGCCGTTCATATAAGCAGAAACTACACACTTGACTCATTCTGTCTGATGGATATGTATGCATATGTGTGTGTTGGTGTGTGTGATTGCTGTTATGTGCTTCCACGGTATAAATTACAAAGAACCGTTCGGAAGCAAGAGCGAGAGGTCGAGAGATAGCTAGAGAGATAGCAAAATTGGCGCTGACAAAGCCGAAGAATGAGACTGCTCTTACCCACCGCTGTCATGGACATCCAGAGAAATGAAAATGCAGAATGCAAGGCAAAGGTTTCCAGCCTCATCAACCTCCCTCCCTCCCTCCGAAGAAAGAGGCTGCTCTTACCCACCGCTGCAATGGACATCCAGAGAAATGCAAATGCAGAATGCGGAGTAAGTGACTCAAGCTCGGTTCCCCCCTCTCTCCCCCCCCTCCCCCCCCCCCCGCTCCCCTCATTCCCTCCTCCCTCCCCCCCACCCTTTCCCTCTCCCTCGCCCCACCCCCCCCCCACGCTACCTCCCCCTCCCTCCCCCCGCGATGGTGATTGAAGGCGGGTCTGAGCCGTCGCCAGCGCACGCTGTCTCTGCGTCTGAGGTGTACGGAAGATCCCTGCCTGTGCCTGCCTCGGAAACTGCCGCGATGAAGCCGCCGCTGCCGCCTGCACCGACACCTGTTCGGCCCGTCTCTCAGGCACCGTCTCTCCCAAATCCCACCCCGCTGGTTGTTCCGCCCCGTGTGGATGCGGTGGTTGTTCCTCCTGCTCCCGCTCACGTGGAGTCCCTTCCTGCAGCCCCTGCTGAGCCAGCTGGTCAGGTTCCTCCCGTCGCTCTTGGCGCGTCGCCGGTCGCCGCTGCCCCTGTGGCGCCGGCTGTCGCCGAGGGCTCTGCCGCGCCGGTGGTGTCGCAACCGGCGGTGTCCGCCACCACTGCCGGCCAGTCCCTCGTGGTGGGACCTGTTGAAGCTCCCGCCCCTCCAGCTGCGGCGCCATCTCTGCCGCTCTCAAACGTCCAGGCGGTGCCTGATCCTGCGCCGCTCGCTGCTGTTCCCCCTGCTCAGCGACAGCCGTCTCCGGGCCGCCGGCAGCATCGACCTCACTCCCCGGCGCCAAGTGACGAGCGAGAGACGACGCGGCGGCGACGCGACTCTCCTCGGCGCCGTGGTTCCCAGGCGAACTGGGCTGCGTCCCGCGGTGGTCGCGGTGGCTGGTGGGGAGGGCGCGGGCGTGGTGGTGACTGGGGGTATGATCGGCCGGTGTCGATGGCCGATCTGCAGCGTGTTGTTTCTGCTGCAGTGCGCGAGGAGCAGAACGGGCAGGCGAGCCAGAGCAATTCGCCTCGCGTCGCTCCGACGCGTGCGTCCGTTCCTCCAGCTGCGCCGCATGCGCCGGCGCCTCCTCCTCCCCAATCGGGCGATCCTCCTCCTCATGCTCCCTCTGCATCTGCTGCTGCTCTTGGGCATCACATGCGTCTGCCGTGGGTCCCTCCTGTGGCGGGTATGGAGTTCGTGACCGCGGCAGGGGGACCCGTGACAGGTCAGTATCCATCTCTGCTGCCCGTCGCTCCTGCTCCGCCGGCTGCTGCACTACCTCATCAGTCGCTGGTGGGGCCCTCTCTTTCCACTGTGGTGCCGGAGGCGTCTCTGGGACAGCTGTGGCGCCTCTCTGAGGGTCTGCGGGCTGTTCACCTGATTCAGGTGTATGGTCACGCGGCTCTCTCCCAGGGTCTTCCTCTGGAGAGTGGCCATCGGGACGAGTGCCTAGATGCCGCTGATCGGCTGGGCGAGCTCCTGGCGCCCGTGTTGGCTGCGCCCGCGCGGGGTGGAGTTGCGGGCGTTGGACAGCTTGGGACGGCGGTCCGTGGGCTGCGCCGGTTTTTGCGCGCAGGGACTGCAGTCGACTTGATCGGCGCAACCACTGTGGTGGTGCGCGAGCTTCATCTCTCGTTGACGGGTCTTCTCGCCGTCCTTGACGCGGATCAGATGTAGCGTCCGCCTCTTCCTGCGCCATGTTGTTGCCGTGTGTTGTCCTAGGCAGGTGTAGGTGACACCATCGCTTGTATGTCTTGAATTATAGTTGCTTGTCCCTTTCTCCCTTGCCGTCCCCTCACGCGCGGCCGAAGGCCGCGCTGTCGAGCGCTGGCCGCCGTCGGCGGCCGGCGCGAGGAAAAATTTCTGCCACCAAACAGAATAATGAAGAGAAGAGGCCCTGAAAGGCCCCTTATATAGCTCAGAAGGGAGAGGGCAGAGGGCAAAGGGAGAGGGCAGAGGCTAGGATCCTCTCTCTCTCTCTCTCTCTCTCTCTCTCTCTCTCTCTCTCTCTCTCTCTCTCTCTCTCTCTCTCTCTCTCTCTCTCTCGCTCTCTCGAACGAACGAGGAAATTTTTCTGCCACCAAACAGAATAACGAAGAGAAGAGGCCCTGAAAGGCCCCTTATATAGCTCAGAAGGGAGAGGGCAGAGGGCAAAGGGAGAGGGCAGAGGCTAGGATCCTCTCTCTCTCTCTCTCTCTCTCTCTCTCTCTCTCTCTCTCTCTCTCTCTCTCTCTCTCTCTCTCTCTCTCTCTCTCTCTCGCTCTCTCGAACGAACGAGGAAAATTTTCTGCCACCAAACAGAATAATGAAGAGAAGAGGCCCTGAAAGGCCCCTTATATAGCTCAGAAGGGAGAGGGCAGAGGGCAAAGGGAGAGGGCAGAGGCTAGGATCCTCTCTCTCTCTCTCTCTCTCTCTCTCTCTCTCTCTCTTGCTCTCTCGAATGAACGAGGAAAATTTTCTGCCACCAAACAGAATAATGAAGAGAAGAGGCCCTGAAAGGCCCCTTATATAGCTCAGAAGGGAGAGGGCAGAGGGCAAAGGGAGAGGGCAGAGGCTAGGATCCTCTCTCTCTCTCTCTCTCTCTCTCTCTCTCTCTCTCTCTCTCTCTCTCTCTCTCTCTCTCTCTCTCTCTCTCTCTCTCTCTCTCTCTCTCTCTCTCTCTCTCTCTCTACGACCATCTCTCCTGTGTGCATTAGGCTATCAGCGAGGAAGAAGGGCAACAACTAGCCAATGAACTGGATGCACACTTCTTTGAGACTGTACGTATCTACTTTCTCCATTAACAGGCTGCTCAGATGTTTTATATCGGCATGAATATGGCACCTCTTTTACTTTTGATTCACTGCTCATTTGCTGCCCGCATGCTGAATGATTTCCCCTTATAAAGATCAGGACGAATCGCATGTGATTTTTTCATATACAAGATATGCATTTTCATTGTTAAAACCTCATTACTTTGATGGCATAAGTAAAGCTCCCCCTTTCCTCCCTCTTTCTCCCGTCCTCCCTCCGATGCTGTATTACTGTATGCAGTCTGCCAAAACAGGCATGAATGTGGATGCTGCCTTTGAGTACATTGCAAGGGAGGGCAAACAGCAATACGATATAACGAACTCTTTGCATACGGAGGTAAGCATTCTTTTCATATCGTAATCCCGTTGCCACAACAGCCTATGATGCATTACCACACGTTCCTTTTTATTATAAGTTTGATTGATGGTGCAAAGTACAATATCGTGGTCATGATAAACCACCATGGGAACTTTGATGTTTTTTTTGTGCAATTTACAGGCATCAAGCTGTATCGATCTTGAACAAAAGACATCACCTGTGGTTTACATATCGTTATGTTCTGTGTAATTTCTATGTAAGATGCTTTGAAGGGTAATGCTGATTAATATAAGTTTTTCCTGAAAGTTATATACTGTCGTCGCACGCGATCAATGATGCCCCGAAGGCCCAACATTTCGGCCCGAACCACTTCCGAGTCGCCCCGCACCAATCGAGACACTTCCAATCCTCGCACGTCCGAGGTCCTTGCCTAGCCAGAGTTCGCCCTATAATTGCTCGCTCATTCATTGTATTCTCAGTTTCCAGAATCACAGTCTCTTCATAGATTATTCCGCGCACTTTGTTGAATACAACTCGTAAAAAAAACGCATAACAGAGTTACAGTATCACATGTAATGTTGAAGTCTGATGTTGCGCGGAAGACTTTATAAAAAGGCTGAATTACAGCATGACCAATATGATAAAGGAACGGGCATTCATAGGGTCGAAACCGTGCTAGGCAAGGACCTCGGGACGTGGATGGGTTGGATGTGTCGCGATTGGTGCAGGGCGACTCGGCAGTGGTTCGGGCCGAAATATAGGCCGAACCGGAAACTGATGCGCAGTGTTCAGGGCTGTCCTCGCTAAGGGCAGCTTCAGCAGTGATGAATTGTATATTCATTACACTCTCCCACCTTCTAGATAAGGTCCCCTTATCTGTAGACGAGTCTTGCAGTAGCGTGAAAACTGTAGATCTCGAGTTGACGCGTGGCTGAGCGCGTTGACCAGGCGAATTTCAAAGAGTTGGAACGTCAGCCGTTGATACTGCCGATGTCGATCCTGCGGTTGAAATCGAATGTCATGATGAAAATCCGCGAAGGAACGTGAGTCATTGATGAAGCGGATTGCGATCGTACGGTAGTGACGCTGGCGATGTTGGCGAGATTCTGACGCGATGTCAGATATCGGTGTCGGTGATGTCAGTGAGTCAATCGCGAGCGTCCGTGCTGTCAGAGTCTGACTGTCAGAACTGTTGAGGAGAACAGTGCGAAAAATACTTTCTCTCCCTCTCCTTGAAGAAAATTGCCCACCAAGATGTGCACAGTTGCGCGAGCACGAAACTCCAACCATTATGACGCCGAGGGTAGAAACAGAATAGCAAGTTTTATGAACCCCCTCTGGAGTTTAGCAGCTGCCCTGTCGAAATTTGTTGCCGGTGGCGAAAATCGCTGGTGTGACCTTTGTCAAATTGTAATTGTATGCTCTAGGCTGTAGTGGGGCATACTCTAGTGAGTACAACCCCTTAGGGTTTCCTACTTGTACTCACAACCCTAATCAATCCACACTTCACTTTCTGACATGGTTTCAGAGTAGGTCCCGGTTAGGACCGTTTTTTTAGGGCCCACCGTAGTTTCCGCTTGTTCCTGCCCGTAGCGCCCTTGCGCTGTCCTGCCCTGCCCGAAGACAGTCGCGCTGCCCTGCTGCCACGCGCTCTGCCTGCCCTAGCGCGCTGCTTGCTTTAGCGCGTCGCGCTGCCCTGCTCGCGCTGCCTGCAAGCGCGCTGCCCGTGCTCGCTGCGCGCCCTGCCTGCTCGCTGCGCCTGCTGCTCGCGCGCTGCCCCTGCCGCTCACGCGCTGCATTTGCTGCCCACGCCCTGCCTGCGAACTGCCCGCGCGCTGCTGCGCCTGAGCCACTGCTGCCGCATGCGCTGCTGCGCTGTTCCCTGCCAACCGCGCTGCCCCGCGCTGCTGCTACTGCTGTTGCACAGCTCCTGCCCACCGCGCTGCTGCTGCTGCGCCTGAGCTGCTGCTGCCGCTCGCACTGCGCTGCTGCTGCTGCTACGCATGAGCTGATGCTACTGCAAGCGCTGCTGCGCTGAGCCGAGCCGCGCTGCGCCGCCCTACCCGAGCCGCGCCGCCCTGCCGAGCCGCGCCGCCCTGCCCGAGCCGCGCCGCCCTGCCCGAGCCGCGCCGCCCTGCCCGAGCCACGCTACCCTGCCCCTACAGGGCTGCACTGCCTTACTGCTACGGCTGCTGCTGCTGCTACTGCAGCTGCTGCTACTACTGTTCTGCTGCTATGGCGACCCCTACAGTTCTCACCTTTGATGGAGAGGGTCACCCAGTAGACTTCGAATCTTGGTTAGAGGATCTCCACTTATACCTGCAGAGCCAGACTAGGGAGGATGTCTCACTCTTTGAGCATACCTCTGGGACCCTAGCCGCCCCTGCTGCCACATCTACTCGTGTAGACCAGTCCAAGTGGGCGTCTCGTGACACTACTGCAGCTCTTTCTGTCCGTAGCCACCTTCCGCTAGACCATCGCTCCCACTTTTGCCAGCTTAAGACGGCCAAGGCGCTTTACGACGCTGTAGTCACACACTACTTGTCCGCGTCTAGTGCTGCCGTTCCTCTTTCCCGAGCTGTCGGAATTCACCACTGTAGCCGACCTCATGACTCACATGCGCTCCCTTGAGACCCGCTACGCTGCCGCCCTCGAGCCCACCTTTAGGGCTGAGAACAAGCCACCTATTTACCTCACCCTTTACTTTCTCACGACCCGCCTCCCTGACTCCCTTCGTGCTGTACGCGACCACTTCCTCGCCCTAGACCCCACAAAGATCACCCTCGACACGTTCGAGTCCCGTCTCTTAGAGGCAGAGTCACGTTCTGCTGCCCTAGCTGTCGTTGCCTCTCGTGGCACTCCCTAGTCCTCTGTCATTGAGGGGTGCTCCCCCTTCCTCCTCGCGTCGTCTGTTGCCTTTGCTGCTACTGTTGACCTCTTTGGTGCTGAGGAGGTCGGTGCTGCTTCTGCTCCGAGTGGGAAGCGCCGCATCGGCAAGGGCAAGGGCGGCAAGGGTGGGGGTGGCGGGGGTGGTGGGGTTGGCGGGGGCAGCGGCAGTGGTGGTGGAGGTGGTGGGGGAGGAGGAGAAGGTGGAGGCGGCAAGGGAGGAGGCGGGGGTGGAGGGAGTAGTGGGGGTGGTGGAGGGGGTGGGGGTGGCACTAGGGGCGGAGCTGGAGGAGGAGGGGCTGGAGGTCCGGCCACTCGTGGTGCAGTGGGGGGTGGAGGTGGCTCTGGGGGTGGTCAGCAACAGAAGCCGAGCTGCCAGGCGCAGCTCTCGCCGCAGTAGCTTCGCGAGTGGGCGATCCGCCGTGGCAGCTCAGGTGGCCCATCTCGCTGCGGGTACGTCCGTCGCACAGGTCAGCCTGGAGCGACCTGCACTCGCACCGACCACACCGAGGCTCGTTGCTTCTTTCGCCTCGATGATCTGTATCGTGCGGAGCATGGTGAGCACATGAAGACTCCTGATTGGCTCGCTTTGCTGAAGCAGGACATAGATGTTTTTGCTTGTGACTGGGCTGTGATCCATGCTGGCATGTATGCGATGTATGCTGCTTCTGCTAGTGTTG